AAACCTAACTCTCAGTGATAGAAAAAGCCTACACAAATATTAATGGGTAAAAAAAAAAAAAAAAAAAAAAAAAACCAGGTATGTTTCCTTGCAAGCAAAATGGAGAAAAAGATATTCTTGTTGTTACTATGATTATTAAGCCACAGACACATAAAATCCACAAAATGGATTGGTGGCTTTGGAAATGCAGTATCATATCAAAGGTGCAGACTGTTTCAAACGTTCTCTACATATCCGGCTGAAACAAGAACCGAACCAAACTTCAACCCCACCAGCGACACAACGCGCCTGTGACCTTGGTGAAAACGTCATGACCAGCTGCCACACAGCTAGACCCAGGAATCCTTCTCTAGAGATGCGTGGACACAATCACCAGGTCTCAAGTCCAGGGCAGGGATGAAGGGCTCTGGCTGCGCCCAGTGCAAAGCACGTGCATCATTGGACCAATTTCTGAATAGATTTTTATAAATATGTACAAATCAGTTACAGGCACTTGAAATGTCTTTGGCTGGAATAACCCAACATCGCAAGATAATGTATTCACAGAGCGTCCAGGCCCAGGCTGGGTTCAGCAGGGAAGGATTATGGTTCTCTCAGTCTCTCTCAGAAAACAGGAGCTGTGGGATTAGGCTTCAGCCAAAGCCACCTGGAAGAGAGCAAGCCAGGGAAACCAGTCAAAGAGGGAAGCCCAGGTAACTCAGCCCAGGGTTCCAGTGCCTACCCAAAGACCAGGGCGCGACACTAATGGCACATATCGACCAGGCAGGGAAGTTATTAAACCCCTAAGAAGAAAATCTCACCTAGGAAGAAGTGACTAGAAATCCCAGTCTCCTGCAAGATGCAGCCCATCTGGAACCACTGTGCAGAGACAGAATGAACTGGTTTTTTTGTTTGTTTTTTCTTTTGAGACAGGGTCTTACTCTGTCGTCCAGGCTGGAGCGCAGTGGCACAGTTCACAGGTTACTATAGTTTCCAACTCCTGGGCTCAAGCAATCCTCCCACCTCAGCCTCCCCAGTAGCTGGGAATACAGGCACGCACCACCACACCTGGCTAATTTTTTAACTTTTAGTAGAGATGGGGTCTCACTATGTTGCCCAAGCCGGTCTTGAATTCCTGGGCTCAAGTGATCCACCTACTTTGGCCTCCAAAAGTACTGAGATTACAGGCATGAGCCACTATGCCCAGCCCTCTTGTGTGTATTTTTGGTTGAATCTGTGGATGTGGAACCCACAATTATAGAAGGCCAGCTGTGGTTTCTGTCTTCATTAGAAGTGTTTTTACCTTCAGCCTATATTATGGTGTTGGATTTTTAATCATACCCAAGCCGTCATCGCTATTAAAGGGAGTGACTTGGCAGTGGTTCTTTCAAAAACTACAAAAATTAACCAGCTGTGCTAATGCGTGCCTACAGTCCCAGCTACTTGGGAAGCTGAGGACTGCCTGAGCCTGGGAGGTCAAGGCTGCAGTGAGCTATGATTGCATTGTGAGCCACGATCGCACCACTCCATTCCAGCCTGGGTGACAGAGCTCAACCCTGTCTCAAAAATAAATAAATAAATAAATAAAATAAAGCCAGGCGCGGTGGCTCACACCTGTAACCTGTAATCCCAGCACTTTGGGAGGCTGAGGTGGGCAGATCACCTGAGGTTGGGAGTTTGAGACCAGCTCGACCAACATCGAGAAACCCTGTCTCTACTAAAAATACAAAATTAGCTGGGCATGGTGGCACATGCCTGTAATCCCAGCTCCTCGGGAGGCTGAGGCAGAATTACTTGAACCCAGGAGGCAGAGATTGTGGTAAGCCGAGATCGTGCCAATGCACTCCAGCCTGGGCAACAAAAGTGAAGCTCCGTCTCAAAAAACAAAACAAAACAAAACAAAAAACCTAAAAAAAGCAGAACTACTCAAAAGAAAAAAACCAAAACATAAGAATACAACAATAAAAATAATACAAGTTTTAAAAATACACTGTAACAACGATTTACATAGCATTTACACTGTAGTAGGTATTGTTAAGTAACCTAGAAGCTGGGCACAGTGGCTCACACCTGTGATCCCAATACTTTGGGAGGCTGAGGCAGGTGGATCACTTGACGTCAGGAGTTCAAGACTAGACTGGCCAACATAGTGAAACCCTGTCTCCATTAAAAATACAAAAATTAGCTGAGCATGGTGGCACATGCCTGTAATCCCAGCTACTCGGGAGACTGAGGCAGGAGAATCACTTGAGCTTGGGAGGCGGAGGTTGCAGTGAGTGGAGATCACACGACTGCACTCCAGCCTAGGTAACACAGCAAAACTCCGTCTCAAAAAAAAAAAAGTAATCTAGAGATGATTTAAAGCTACAGAGGATGTGCAGAGGTCATATGCAAATAATGCACCCTCAGAAGGGATCTGGACATTCATGAATTTCGGTGTCCACCAGGGTCCTGGAACCAATCCCCCTAGGATACTAAGGGATGACTGTCATTTCTTTGGATGAAACGTGCCACCCACAATAAATGGAGTAATGATAACTGTGACTTTCTATATACAGAGGCCTCTAGCAAAATGTTAGCCTGGACCCCATCCACTGCTCACCTTCTCAGGACAAAATTCAGGATTGCTCTGACGCAATTTGCTGGGTCTGCCCTTGATAACAGCATAGCAAAACATCGTAATCACCATCACAAAGAGGAAGTAACTGGTGTGCATGAGATGCAAATTTATTAATGAACGGTCATCCTAAAGAAAGAAGAGAAAAAAAAAAACAAACGTGCTCTGAGTGACTGAAAGGTTTTAATGCTGGGTTTTGAGAGACAGGCTTTACAAACTCCAGACTTGCCACAACTTTTATTCTCAAGCTGGGAGAGGAGGTTTCTCCTTCTGGCTCCTAAATTACCAAAGCTGGACCTCATTAAGTGAAGACACGGTGTTTCCAAGCAATCCCTGGTAGAGAGCAACCATTCCTTCCTAGCGTTGTAGTCTGCCCTGTGTTCTGCACCCCCACACTGCCTGAACCCTGCCCTTCCAGCAGGCCTCCTCCCCTGCGAAGGCTGCAGAGACTGCGTCTTTAAGCCCTTTCTGGACACATCCTCATCATGGAATTGCCCTCCGGTTGCAAGGCTGACAGCCGAGGTTGCATTCCTAAGTCCTGGCTATGCCCCCACCAGGAAGGCCTTAGCACCTCACCTCTCCTCAGGGTTACCTCCTTGCTCCTGCATTTCCCTACTTCTCTAAGTCCCTGGATGAAAATGCTGACATCATCTTTGATTCACTGCCCTTTGACCTCCCACAAGCAGTCAATCCCCAGGCCCTGCCAGTTACTAGAGAAACCCCAGACACACTTCCATTCCTTTTCCCTCTCATATCTCCAGGTCTCAGGTCAGCCTGGGCTCCGCCCCTGCTCATTTACCACATAGTGGGGCAGCCCAGTCTTCTCGGCACATTGCTTTACCAATCCCCATGGCCCAAACACAGGCAGGGATTGTCCTCGGCCAGGCACGAAGGACCTCAGCCCACCATCCAGCCTGACCTCCAGGGCTGGCTCCTGCAGGACCCTGGCCTACATATGAGCCTCAGAAAAGGGCAAAAGCCAGGCGCAGTGGCTCATGCCTGTAATCTCAGCACTTTGGGAGGCTGTGGGAGAATCACCTGAGGTCAGGAGTTCAAGACCAACCTGGCCAACATGGTGAAACCTTACCTCTACTCAAAATACAAAAATTAGCTTGGTGTGGTGGCAGGTGCCTGTAATCCCAGTTACTTGGGAGGCTGAGGCAGGAGAATCACTTCAACCCAGGAAGTGGAGGTGGCAGTGAACCAAGATTGTTTCACTGCACTCCAGCCTGGGCAACAGCACAAGACCCCATTTCAGAAAAAATAAAAGAGTGGGCTTGGGCCAGGTGCAGTGGCTCACACGTGTCAACCCAGCCACTTGGTAGGCCAAGGCAGGAGGATCGCTTGAGGCCAGGGGTGCAAGACCAGCATGGGCAATATGGCAAGACCCCATCACTACAAAAAATTTAAAAATTATCCCGGCATGGTGACATGCACCTGTAGTCCTAGCTACTCCGGAAGCCTGAGCCCAGAATCTGAAGCTGCAGTGAGCTATGAATGCGCCACTAGACCCCCATCTGGGTGACAGAGCAAGATCCTGTCTCTAAGAAAAAAAGTAGGCTCAAGTCTAAGTAGGAAGCTGAGCTAGTGCACAGCTGTTAGACAAAATAGGTGTTTTCTTCTCCTTGCCTCTCGGTTCAGTTAAATCCTATTCAGGCCTCACTCTCTAGCTGAAGATTCATCTCCTTCTACTCACTTCTACCTTTCAGAACTCCAAGCAGCACTATTTCTTGTTCACACTGAGACTAACTAGATAGTCTTCTATGTATATCTGTGAACATCCCTCTAAGATAGTATTAATACAAGCATCCCTTGCAACTCCCAGGGGTTAGGCAGTTCCTCAAGAAATAACTGCTGCCAAACAACAGAGAAAACGAAGAGAAGAACCAGATTTTCCTTAACCAATTGGTGGCATGTTTTTCCAAGCATGCACCTCTCCGACAAGTGTCCCAAGGCAGCTGGAAATCTAGAGTGGCAGAGGATATGCTTACCCAGGGAAGTCAGCAGGACCTACACCAACAGTTGCAGCACATGCACACACATGTGCCCATGTGCGCACGTACACACACACACACAGACGCACACACGCACACACACAAACACATACACACACACAGACACACGGTTTTTGTCACTTACATCTGGAACAATCACTGTAAGCTTGGGATTTAAAGCATGATAGACTTTTCCAATGGCCCCCTTATAACACCAGAAAGGATTGTAATCTTGAGCGTATTTTGTGTTGGCATCTCTGGCAGTTGTGAAGATCTTGTACCAGAGCGTGGCATTGCTGTACGTGTCGGGTACACAGTGCGGTGGCTGTCTGTAGGGGAAGAGGAGGAGGAAAGACACATGCTCAGTGACCTTAGTCATTCACCTGTGTCACCCCCACAGCAGCTGGCAAAACAGTGAACATGGCAACACATGTGGAAAGGGGAAATGTAACTTACATGCTCATACTTCTTTGAGATAAATACCATTAAATTTTAGTTTGAGGGTCTTTACAAAAAAAAATAAACACATAACAGAAAAAGAAATAGGTGCCTGACATTTAGGGGTGTTTAATTTCTGCCTTCAGAATTCCCATATAGTCCTTTCACATGGGATGCAATGGACATAAGCCCCTTTTACACCTATTTCCTCAAATTAGTTAAACTCTTAGTATATTAGTCTGTTCTTAGGCTGCTAATAAAGACATACCCGGGACTGGGTGATTTATAAAGGAAAGCAGCTTAACTGACTCACAGTTCAGCATGGTTGAGGAAGCCTTAGCAAAGTTACAATCATGGCAGAAGGGGAAGCAAACACATCCTTCTTCACAGGGCGGCAGCAAGAAGTGCCGAATAAAAGGGGAAAAACCCTTCTAAAACCAACAGATCTTGTGAAAACTCATTCTCTACCACGACAACAGCAGCACGGGGGTAACCACCCCCGTAATTCAATTACCTCCCACTGGGTCCCTCCCATGACACATGGGGATTATTTTGAATTGTAGTTCCCAAAATTACCTGTGTAGATTTGGGTGGAGACACAACCAAACCACATCATCTTTTTTTTGTGAGACAGAATCTCACTCTGTTGCCCAAACTGGTGTGACCTCAGCTCACTGAAACCTCCACCTCCCAAGTTGAAGTGATCCTCCTGCCTCAGCCTCCCAAGTAGCTGGGATTACAGGCGCCTGCCACCACACCTAGCTGATTTTTGTATTCTTAGTAAAGACAGGGTTTCACCATTTTGGCCAGGCTGGTCTTGAACTCCTGACCTCAAGTTACCCATCCATCTCAGCCTCCAAAAGTGCTGGGATCACAGGTGTGAGCCATTGCGCCCAGCTCAAAGCATATCACTTAGTTACAACTGGAAGCTTTACCTACAAAATTCTGTATCAGTTACTGTAACACAATGTTTAACTTAACCTGCTCTTGGCCTACAAACCTCCAAATGTCCAAAATAGATAAATCCCAGGATAATTCTTATTTAAAAAGGATTAACCATAGAATTCTTTTAAATAGGCTATATCTTATGTATTTCACCTGTTTATTTATAGGTAAATATCTCCTTTACAGAGAAAGGAGAAACCTCCCCATCACACACACACACACAAAAAAAAAAATGTAAAAGGCAAAGCT